GCACTCCTGCCCCCTGAGCTGTCTCCCTGTGCATAGACAGCCCTTCTTTCTCCCATGATTGTTCTCTCCAAGGAGTGTATCTACCTCAGGTAAATATTCAACTCATATGCCTGCCTTTTGTTTGGCTGGAAGCCACAGGAGTGGGTTCAATTCCAGACCTGAAGGGCAGCAAGGGGCCATAGTCTCAGTGGTTTCACCAGGCTCTATCAGACCAGCAAACTTGGTCCCCTTTTTTTTTCCCAAATGATTTTGAGTTTTGTTTCATATTGTTATCCCTCTCTATCCAGGATCTCCTCCATAGATCCCCTTCCAAGTGGATGGCAGTGGTAGCTGGGCACCATCTAGTTCTTCTGGTCTCATAGTCATATAGGCTGAAGATTGCACAGTAACACATAATAATCTTAAGACATTAAAGAAAAAAAACAAAAACAAACCTCACTGCCATGGAATCAATTTTGACTCATAGCAACCCCTCCTTGGGTTTCCAAGGGTGTATCTCTACAGAAGTAGATTGCCCGATCCTCCTTCTGAGGAGTGGCTGGTGGGTTTAAACTGCCAGCCTTCTGGTTAGCAGTCAAATGCCTTAGGCACTATGCCACCAGAGCTCCCAATCTTAAGATAAATAACTTACAAAACCAAACCCATTGCCGTCAAGTCGATTCCAACCCATAGTGACCTCCATTGGGTCTCTGAGGCTATAAATCTTTTTTTTTTTTTTTACCAATCTGGCTATCAGTTCCATTTTGTATGTGGCATTGCTGATTTTTTTGATTGTGATTTGGGTGGCAATTTACAGAGCATATTCACTTTCCATACAGCAGTTCACATACACTTTGTCTCACGACATTGACCACAATTTCGCACAGTGCAACAGCTCCCCTCCCACATCCTCCCCATAGTTACCTCTTCCCAGTGTCCGTCTCTCCATGCACGCCTGCCCCCTGAACTGTCTCCCTGTGCATAAATAAGCAGCCCTTCTTTCTCCCATGATTGTTCTCTCCAAGGAGTGTATCTACCTGAGGTAAATGTTCAACTCATATGCTTGTCTTTTGTTTGGCTGGAAACCACAGGTATGGGTTCAATTCCAGACCTGAAGGGCAGCTAGGGGCCATAGTCTCAGTGGTTCCACCAGGCTCTATCAGACCAGCAAACCTGGTCCCCACCTCTTTTTTTTTTTTTCTCCAAATGATTTTGAGTTTTGTTCCACATTGTTCTCCCTCTCTATCAAGGATCTCCTACATAGATCCCCTTCCAAGTGGATGGCAGTGGTAGCCGGGCACCATCTGGTTCTTCTGGTCTCGTAGTCGTATATGCTACAGATCAGATGTGAGGCTATAAATCTTTATGGAAGTAGATTGTCTCATCTTCCTCCACAGAACAGCTGGTAGGTTTGAATCCCCAATCTTTTGGTTAGCAGTCAAATGTCTTACCCACTGTGGTAGTTCAGTTGGTGTGTCAACTTGGCTGGGCCTGATTGAGTGGCTGGGCAGCTGGATGTAGTATTCCCCATGATGAGACTGGTAATCAACTCCATGGTAGAATCTACTGTGAGCAGCTGAGTAGCTATGTTAGGACTATGGTCTGCTTTTTGTATATAAGCAGAAGCCTTGGGGAATGGTCTCTAGCCTATGGCACTTTTGACCCTGCATGTAGCCATGTCGTTGTTCAGCAGCCTGACATGCTCTGTAGACCTTTGGACTTACAGAGGTCTTAAATTAATGCCCTGCTGTGTGGTTTGGTAACATCGGGACTGTGCCTTTATACTTGTCAACCTTGGACTTTTCAGCCTCAGCAGCCAGCAGCTGTCTGAGTGAAGAAACGCCTCTAGTTTCACTGTCATCGAGAGAGGAGCTGGATGTGGAGTGGAGTGTGTGCTTGGACCTGAAGTCTCTGTGCTGGACCTCCTTGGCAGAGACGAGCAGCTGAGACGACCTGCTGAGGAACCAAGAGGCATGAGACAGAGTGGTGGGCTTGCCAGCCCTTGGAGCCAGAAAGCTGAGTGCCTTTGGGCAGGAAGCTTGCTGGTGGAGTGGGGTGCTCCTATCAGCAGAGCTAAAAGAACTTTGTAACACTTGCCAGGTAGAGAGGCCAAGGGCCAGAGAGGCATGCCTGAGGGTATAGCAGAGGGGAGACTGTCCTGATCAAAGAACCGTATCCTGAGTGCGTTCCTGAACCTGAGTTGTAGCCTGTCACTTCCCTAATAAACCCCATAATCATGTGTACTGTCTGAGTTCTGTGTGGCCGTTTCAATAAATTATCGAATCTAGCAGAGAAGGTAGTGAGTGTCATGGGAGGGTGGCTGGAATTCGAATTGGTAAGAAGGCTGGAGGGTGGCGGCATCGCTGGCCTCATAGGAATAAGCCTTGGGCTGCTGATGGTGCTTCCGTCTCCCCCTTAGAGGCTGCTGCCCCCATGTCCTTTTTGCACATGTTACTGTCTTTCAGACGGTAGCCATCCTAGGGGGCCGGAAGTGGTGTTTCAGGCAGTTCGGATCTGCCTCTTTCCCTAAGCACCTTTTCCTGAACCTACATAGTGTGCTGTTCACCCACAGGCTCAGCCAAGCAGCCTCCTAGTTGTCCTGGGCTGGGCTCTGGGGACCCTCGGAGGTCACCCACACTTGCAGGCGTCTGAAGGGCTGTCCTGAAAGGCAGCCCGGAGTGAGACGCTCTGCGAGGTGGCCAGGAGGTCAGAATAGGGTGGGAGGTGTGCGGGAACTGGTTAGGAATTTCAGAGGTGACACCCACAGCAATGGCCGAGATTCCAAGGAGGGCGGACTCCAGGAGTGCTGGCTGCTGGCAGGGCTAAGAACAGACGCGCACCCGGGCGCGGGTGGGTTGCTGGGGTGAGCAAGCAGCGGTGGGCGCCTCCGTGTCCTCGTCACGGGAAGCAACGCCCTGCGTGGCCGGTGTGGGTGCGGCACCGCCTCCGGAGTGACGCAGGGTAATTAAGGGCGTGTGTGGAGAGCTGCAAACCCGAGTCCAGCGCTTGCCCAGGGCGGCCTGGGTCCCGGGGCCCAGACGCTCGGCGGCGGAGGTGGCCGGCACACCTGGGCCCCTGCCCCATCCATCCATGCGACAGGCATCAGCCCCCGGCCGTCCCCGCGCCGCGGTGCCCCACGCCCTCTCGCGCCCGCCGGCCGGTCCCTCCGCGGTGCCCGGGAGCGCGCCGGGGCTCGCAGAGAGGACGGGCGTGGACGCCTCGCCCCTGCCCGGAGCTCCCCCAAATCTAACTGCCGGGCACCCACGGAGCCTCGTGAGTATTCCATTCGGGACACGCCCGGGACGCGATGGAGGCGCGCACGCCGGACCCCGCTGCGGCGCCGCTCCGGGACTCTGTGAGTGGGACCCCACCCCAGGGTGCGACCACCTCCCCGGGGGCTCCTGCAGCCTGAAGTCACCCGACGCGGGCGTGCTCACGGCCCCTTCCTGGGAACAGATCCAGACCCCGCCCCGGCGCCCTTGGGCGGGGTGCAGGGCAGACAGGGTCCTGCCCTCGGAGAGGACAGACTTGGGGTCCCCCCTCCCGGAGGGGGCCGCGGCCCCGTCCTCCTCCAGCTTCCCTCTGACCTGACACCGGAACGGTGAGCGTTCTGTCCCAGGGAGACAGACGGGAGGGTTGGATTTAGAGGCAACAAGAGGTTTCGGGGTGACTCAGCTCCCAACCAATACATGAGTGTAGAGGAGGGGTGACCTCCTAGGAGACTGCCGTCCGTGACTTCCGTGTTCTGTTGAATTCTCGGAGAAACCAAGCATTTTCTGCTATGCGACCTCCCAGCCGTTTCACAGCTCTGCCGCTTACATGCCTGGTAACTTTGACTTTCCTGCATGGCTAAGGGCCAGGCTTGTTTATTCACACAGGGGGTCCCTTGTCCCAGAGCTGCCTGTTGGAAAGATGTCCCTCTGCCCTTTCAATCAAAAGCCCTTGGCACCTCTGTCAGGATCCAATTGATCCTAAGATTTCTTAGATGCCTGAGGCCAACAGTAAACTTTATATTCATTTGCACCATGGTTCTTTTCAGGCAGAAAATCTACTCCAAGAACTTCAAGAACATTTTCAAGCTCTTACTGCAACATTAACCCTCAGAAATATCCTTTTCTTAAAGCAAACACTGTTTTCTGACAGTTAAACTGTCATGGAGTATCCTTTTGTTGTCTGCTATCAGTGGACCCCTGCTTACTTAGGACTTGCCAGTATCCACACTTGCATTTTTATGTGACATCCTAATGGATTAATCACATTCACCTCCCGCAGACAACTGCACTTCCTCTTTGCAGGCAGTCCGGGCCACCTGGATGGCAAGGATACAGTACCAGGAATTAACACACAGAACTGCCCCTAAATTGGGCTGGTCTGCCTTCCATCACTCTGCTTGTGCCTGTGTAAGGATGATCTGAACATGCATACACAGCAGTGATGGTCTCCAACAGGGAGCATAGCCAGGCTTCTCCCAGCTTTGCTTTAACTTCAGCAGCTCACTGTTGCGTCTTAGAAACGGAAATCAAACAGAGTTTTGATGGGATGTTGGTTTCCACTTTGAGCAAATACAGAGAGGAGGAACAGTAACATCTGATTTGCATTCACTTCACACAACTAAATGCTTTCTTAAAAATGCTGACACAGTGCTTAGGGGACACCAAGCTTCTAAGGGTGATGGAAAAAATCTGCCTAGTTGTGACAAGTGTTCTGGCACCTATATATTTACCAGAGAACAAGTGAACCCACGGCATTAAAAATGTCCATCAATTGTGACATGCATCTTATGTCCAAACATACAAATGTACCAAAAACGTACATTAGAAAATCAAGAAATAATGGTGTTATATGACAAAGGGGACCACTGATTAAAAACAAAACAAAAAGTGCTTCTCGTTACCGAAAAAGCAAAAGCAGGGAAAATATCTGCTATGGACCCTTTATTTACAGCTTCTGATGTTGCAGATGGGTCCCCGAGGAAGATTTTGAAACGTGATAAATTTAAACCACAGCAGTCAGTGCAAAAAAGAACCAATTTTTATCACAATTTTCCTACTCATTAGAATTTGGCTGAAGTATTCCAGACAATCTCATGTCCCTGACGCCATGTCCAGTGTTACAGTAACAGGTCCACAAAGTGCCCCATGTGCTCACATTGAACTCTCAAGTCTAAAGTTTAAATATTCACATTAAAAACACACACTCAGTGGAAGTCACTAACCTGCTTGACTTAATGATCTCTGCGTTCCTCGCTTTAAAAACTGCAGTCTGTTTCCATATCTTCTGTGCCTGGGTTTTTGGTCAGCACCAGCAGGAGTGGAACAGGCTGACGCAGTGTCTCCTGAAGCATTAAGCCTCCAGACTGAGGCCTACCCATCAGTTCTCCTTAACCTTATACTGGAAGAAATGGGGAATCGTATTGACGACTTAGAGAAGAATGTAAGTGACTTAATGGTGCAAGCTGGGATTGAAAGTCCTGTGGAAGAACAAACGGTAAGATCATCATTAGGAAACCAACCCTGTTTACCTTTTGCATGTCTTTTAATTGCCCTCATCTTGAAAAAGACAATCCCATATTAAACCCCACATAGTTCATCTCTACACCTTGCTGGTTTGCTACTGGAGTTACGGCTCCGGTACTACATGATTCCAGGAAGATGATGCTTACAAATGCTATTTTCTAAACAGACTAGCAAAAACAAACTTTGTCATAGTTCCTTAAAAATCACACGTTAAATGAAAAACACAATTATTTAGAAATTGATTTTATTAAAGTACTTTTTACACCCCTCCCTCCCAAGTCAGTCTTCAATCCATGTCTTTCCCAACGGGATTTCAGACTGTCTTGAAGAGAATATAAGCGCGTTTCAGGGCCCAGACCATGTGACACAAAAGGAGACACAAAACTTGGTTAAAACTTTATGTGTATTTTAATCGAACAATGTAAGTGCTTTTTTCACTGACGATTGTTACCCTAAATCTGCTGGCAAATTACCCTACCTTCCTGCTCAGAGTGTTCACGGATAAGCAATTTATAAACATCTAATCCAGCATTCTGGTAAACCAGCTACCTACCACCCGTGTCCTGCTCCACAGAGCTGCAAACTGGGGGAAAAGGGTACTTCGGCAGGGTGAAAAGTAGCACTGTAGCTACTAAGCTTCTATCCCAGCAACCCCACCAGGCCTTTCAGCCTTCTCCACTCTCCCACGGTAAAATTCCCAATCACTGAGGTGACAAGCACCAAGCAGAAGAGGCCCGGAGCACATGCCTTCAGGCTCTGCCCATCTGCGAGCAATGCCAGGCACAGGCGAGGTCATGCTAGGGCCAAGTGTTCCTTCCTGTTCCTCCAGCAGGCAGTTCACATTCGGTCAAAAATCCACCAAATATGGGCATCAAATTAAACGGCTGAGGAGGAATCAAAACTTCACTTTTTGAGATGCACATAAAGCAACTATTTTAGAAAGGTCAGTTATCTAGAAATGTATCTAAAAGCTGCTCATACCTTTTAAATGAAAACACAGACCCAAGTAAGCCTAGGGAGCTCTGGTAGCATAGTGGCTAAGGTACTTGACTGCTAATCAGAAGGCTGGTGGTTCAAACCCACCAGCCACTCCTTGGAAGGAAGATGAGGCAATCTACTTGCATAGTGATACTGCCTCGGAAACCCAAGGAGGGGTCAGTTTGAGTCGGGTCTGACTCAACGGCACATAACAACAAGTAAGCCTAAGTCTGTCCTTACTACAAACCACTACCAAGTGTGTTCCTCTAAAGAGAGCTTGTGACCCCAAAATGTTGACTATTCTGAATCCTGATGGATTTGGCCTTTCATCAGTCTCCCCACTGAAGGACAACAGCTGCAGTTCCTGTTCTGCATCAAACATGAGAAAATATGCTTTTCTGAACGCCACTGGCATTACCACCGCAACGGGGACCATGGAGCACTGCGGTCTTACTTGAAGAGCGCACACTGTTTATCCACTTCCAGATTCAAATCCACATTGACTCAGAGCATTAAACGTTTTTATTTTTCCATACACTGAATTTTTCCCCTATCAAAATGTTATAATGATTATAGGAAATTTTATCGACAACTCTGGCTTTGTGTTTATTTGTGCATAAACTGGTATATAAATCAACCTTTTCCTCTTCCAACATTTGTTCTTACAGACCTAAAGATACTAGACCAGTCACCTGAAAATGGCATCAAACGAAAACCACTCTTCTGTGTGATCAGCTACCTGACTGGTTTCCAGTAATTCTAAAATTCATGTTAGTAAAATAAAAGATTAAAAGGACAAAGGCAATGCAGTAAGAGTATGATTCAGGGGATGACTCGTTATTTTTCTAACCACTTAACAAAGATGGCTGTGAACAAAGGCAGAGTAGTTTCCAGTGCTCACCCTCCCCGCTCCCTTCCACCCCTGGGAACCACTGAACACTCTGGTCTCTCTATACTTGAGCCTCGTCTACTGTTTCATGTAAGTGGGATCCTGTAATATTTGTCCTTTTGTGACTCAGCATACTGTTTTTAGGGTTCATCCATGTTGAAGCATGTATCAAGATGTTACTTCTCTTTATGGCAGAGTAACTGTGTGGATATACCTACCATATTTTGCTCATCTTCAGCTGCTGATGGACGTTTGGATTGTCTCCACTTTTTCACTATTGTGAATAGTGTTGCAATGAACATTCGTGTACAAATTTTTGTTTGCACTCCTTTCAAGTGGAGATATACCTAAGATTGGGATTGCTGGGTCATATGATAGTTCTACGTTTAATATTTTGAGGAACCACTGAACTCTTCCAGCAGCTACACCATTTTATATTACCACAAGCAACAGATGAGGGTTCCAATTTTTCCACATCCTTATCAACACTTGTTATTTTTCATTTACTTGGTAACAGACATCCTAGCGGATGTGAGGTGGTACCTCGTGGTTTTGATAAGTATCTCCCTAAAGACTAATGATGCTGACCGTCTTTCCATGTGCTTACTGGCCATGTATTTTCCTTGGAGAAACGGCAAGAATGCAATACTGAGTGTCCATTGTATGCTGGGTACTTTAGTTCACTGGGACTGTCTCACTGTCATCTTATAATGCTGTGATATGCTGTTATAGTCTCAATTTTATAAAAGGGGAAATTAAGACTGGAGTGATTAAACTGTAGATTTGCATTTGAATGTTAAAGCCACATTTTTTTTTTTCTTTTCTTTAAATTATGATTTGGGTGAAAGTTTACAGAGCAAATTCACTTTCCATATAGCAGTTCACATATACTTTGTCTCATGTCATTGACCAAAATTTACAATGCAGCAGCTCCCCTCCCACTTCCTCCCCATAGTTACCTCCTCC